GGTGGGATGAAATGAAAGTCATATTTTGGTATTTTGTAAAATTCTGAAAGTACATATAATTCAGCTTCTACAAGGTAAATTAAATTTTCACAACTTAACTATTTTATTCATCAAGACTCTTCTTGGTCATTTTACCATTTTCAGTAAGTAGGTTTATTACCATCACCAGCATCTCCACAGTAACTCCTATCTTCCCCTTTACATTCTTAGAAAGGTTATTGTGTTATTCTGTAATTCATCTACCAACAGTCCTGTCAGAATAATTTCTTCTGGAGTAATTGAAGGGATAACTTCAATTACATTACAATCAACATCCTTCAACTACCGTCAATCTCTTAGTCTTTAGAGTCACTGTACTAAAGAATTGACTGGCATAGAAGAATTTCAAGAAGCAATACATGATCAAGAGGCAATGGTGATGAAGGAGGAAGTTCAGGCTGCTCTGAAAGCCTTGCAAGAAATAAAGCCCAGGGATTTGACGGAATACCAATTGATGTATTTCAACAAACAGATGCTGCCCTGAATGTGCTCAACATGCTGTGCCTAGAAATCTGGAGGATAACTACCTGGATAACTGAATGGAAAAGATCCATATTTATTCCCATTACAAAAAAAAGTGACCTGAAAGAGCGTGGATATTATCAAACTGTATTACTAATATCACACACTAGCAAAATCCTGCTGAAGATTACCCAGAAATGACTGGGACAGTACACTGCCAGAGAACTACCAGAAATGCAAGCTGGGTTCAGAAGTGGTTGTGGAACTAGAGGTATTATGGCCAATGTAAGATGAATCTTGGCAGAAAGCAAAGAGTACTAGAGAAACGTCAATCTGTTTTTCATTGACTGTGCAAAGACATTTGGCTGTGTGGATCACAGCAAATTGTGGCTAACCTTGACGAAAACGGGTATCCCACTACACTTGACTGTGTTTATGCAAAATGTATTCTTGGACCAGAAAGAAGTTGTAAGAATAGAGCAAGGAAACACTGCAGGGTTCAAAATCAGGAAAGGAGTGCATCAGGGATACATTCTACCTCCATACCTTTTCAATCTATATACACAACCGATAATTCAGAAAGCAGGGCTTTATGATGGGGAGTTGTGGCATCAGAATTGGAGGAAAACTCATCAACAATCTATGTTATGCATATGCCACAACCTTGCTTTCTGAATGTGAGGAGACCTAAATAAAGCACTTGCTGTAGAGTTCAAGGACTGTAGTCTTCAATATCGATTGAAGCACCACATCAAGAAACAAATATTCTCACCACTGGGACAACTGGCAGCACCATAATAGAAGGAGTAGAGATTGAAATTAATAACAATTACAGTTTGCTCAGCTCCACAATCAACACTAGCAGTCAGGAAATGAAAAGACAAATTGCATTGGAAAAATCTGCTGTCAGAGACATCTCCAGAGTACTGAAAAGCAACAATGTCAGTCTAGAGACTAAGGTGTGCCTAATCTGGGAAATGATTTTTCACAATTACTTGCTATGAATCAGGGAGCTGGACAATGACTAAGGATAAGAGAAGAAGAATTGATGCCTTCAAATTGTGGAGCTGGAGAAGAGTCCTGAACATACCATGTACCACCAAGAAAACAAATAGGTCTGTTTTGGAAAGAGTGAATCCAAGTTTCTCCTTAGGGGAAAGGATTTTGAATCTTTGTCTCACATACTTTGGGCATGTGGCTAGGATAGACTGGTCCATGGGGAAGGACTTGGAGTGGTGGAGGGACAGCACGGGAGATGAAGACGATGGATGAGAAGGATTGATACAGTGACTGGGAAAATAAGGGTTGGTATGTCAGAATTGGTGAGTCTGTCTCAGGACAAGGCAGGTTTCAGAGCTGCTGTACACAGGGTCACTATGGGATGCAGGCAACTGGACTTCACATAACAACAACAAATACTTCATTGTAGGCTCCAACTGTCACATTTCTTTCTAACTTAAGGATTGGTGATCCCAAGCACATGACATGCTTTTTTTACCATTTTAAAGACTGTACTTACAATCATGAAAAATGACACTGAATTTTTTTTATTCCCTCTTTCATGAAAGCTCTTTTGATTTTCCTAGAACTAAGTCTCTTCTTCCTGAACATTAATTGTCCCTAACTAACATTATAATGTTTTTTGTTTCATAGCACTGGTTTTGACATATATCATGGATGTGAAAGTTTGAAGTATTCATTGAACAATTATCAAGAGAACTTCAACTCGATTAACAGTTTTCAAGGAAAGTGCTTCCAAACATCTGAAAAAGTACTATGTTTCCCCAGGCTACTTTCTCTTCATACAAAGAGGTCAAGAGGAAGTGTTGGATATCCATTTCTCCCTACCATTCCAGACAGAGCTTCATTACCATTACTGATCTTAAGTCCATGGAGACAAACCTCATGATGTGTCCTGTTTACATGAGTAATTTTAAGAAGTTCTTGGTCACTGGTTAACTCTCATTCTCTCCTCTCTAACCTCTATTAGATTCTGCATATTCCAACACTTTTCCTCAGTGGAGAACATTCTGAATTTCATACACATCTTAGCCTTATTTTAGTAAAGGGTTTTATAATTCATTATTTAATTATACTTTCTTGGAGATGTGTTTATTACTTTTTAATATTTTTTTTTGTCCAATAACTGAGTTGAGTTTTCACTGCAGAACAACATAAAGGAGGAATGGTTGCTTAAAAATAACTAGGTCGCACAGAGTAAATAAACACTGATTTCAGTGTTACTAATACAAATATGCTTTCTAATAGCAATTTAATATTTCCATTTTGGAAAAATATTTGCATATAATAATAAGACTTATTTTCACATAATAATAAGAACCCTACAAAGTAGGTTATTTCAACAAAGACTTACTTTCTCAACGTATGTCAAAGCAAGTCACTTAATTCATCAAGATTTAATCAGATTTTTTTAAAAAGTAAGAATTTATTTGTATGCATAAAATGCTGAGGATTAATTACAATTTTTACTGATAATTCATCTTTTATAAATACACAGAGCCTTAGAAATCCTATAACTTCTGACTTACAAAGGGTCTATGAGTGATAATCAATTTGATAGCAGTGGATGGTAGTGGAAGTTTGGGTTTCAGTACATTGTAACTGAAAAATTTATATCTTATATTCCTTCCAGAGAAAAAGGTATATGTTCTATTTTTTTAAAAAATCAACCTTTCAAAGATTTTCACACATCCATTCAATGGATGATACAGTAGTTAAAAATGATGTATTGCTGTGTTCTTCTAGGAACACATTTAGTGTGCCTTGCTATATACTGGGACATAAACGCAGCTTTTAAGAAAATAAAAAAGTATATATAATTCATAATGAATATAAATATTTTTGTTATTTGGTGTAGTTGATTACATACCTTGCCCAGTAGTTCTCCCAATGTGACATCTTCATGATTGAGAATCCATTTCTTGTCCTACAGCAAAGAAAAAGTAAAAGATTTTGTTTAGTCCAAGCAACAGTAAATTTCCTGTAAGATGCATTTGGGGGAGCAGGCAAAAGACTGAAAGTGGTATTTCATTTAGAATACTCAGTCAAGAGTACGTTAAGAAAATATAATGCTAAAAAGTTGTAAAACAGTTTTAACAAACATTATACATAATGTAGCATTAAAAACTATATTACAACAAACTTCAATCAGAAAATCTAACCTTTATAATGGTAGCAGCTTTATAATTAGAACACAGATGGACATTTCACTACTATAAACTCAGGCCCTCTTAATATTTGCCATTTCTCAAAAACTTCAGTTATAAAAACTTCAAAGAATTTTATCTTAAGATGCAAAGATTTCTAATTCTGAAGTTGAACTCAGAGAATTATTTTTCTATATAAATCACATTACTAAGAGCTGATTTTCCACTTATAAACTGGCTCTGAGTTATAGCTGTCTACATCACTGCATGTAGTCCCATATCTTTCCCAAGCAATTTCCTGTAGTAAAATAAAACAACAAACATCAATTACAGTATCACCAGGATACTGAAGACTAGTGATTCAAACATGCCATTATAAAAGAACATCCCATTTTCTGATCTCAAGAAGTGATTACTACTTAGAGAATATTTTATCACCTCAAAACTTCAACTATTAAATTACACAATGCTAGGATGTTAGAATGGCATTAGAAAAGAAAAAATATAAGGAAGAAAGAGAAAGGAAGGGAAGAAAGAATAAAGAAGGATAAGATGGAGGAAGAAAAGATAAAAGGAGAGGAAGAGAGGGAGGAGAAAGAAACAGGGGGGATAGGGGAGAGAAAGAAAATGTAACGATAAGATCTTAGAGTAATAGTAATATACAAAATTTAGTGTTTTGTAGTTTGGAAAAAACATCAGGTGGAGGGTCAGAGAAAGAGAGGAAAACCTTCAACAACATGGGTTGATATGGCAATTATTAAAATGGTTTGAGAATATCAGAGATGGAGAAAACAGTGCAGAATATGGCAGAGTTCAGTTCTGTTGTTCATAGGGTAGCTGAGTTGTAGGTGATTTGATGGCCACTAACAATAACAACATATTGACAATACTAGAGGAGACTGTCCATTTTTCTCCCAAGGAGCCACTGGTAGATTTGAGTGCCTGGACAGACCCTGTATTTGGATTAGGACTGTAACTGTTAATGGTATAATCTGTAGGGAATTGTGCTGCCAACCCAAAGGCAGCACCTCTTTGGTGTTCTGAATCCACCAGGGACTCCTTGGGAGAGAGATGGGCAATCTCCTCCTATGTGACTTAAAGACTCTGAAATAAAAACACTGGAGTATTAGCTTTGAGTTGGTTCCAGATTGATGGCAATGAATAAAGGCGAAGGTTGAGATAGGGCCGTATTGGTTCAACCCCACCAGCTGTTGTAAGAGAGAAAGATACTGCAGTGCGCTTCTATATACAGGCATAACGTTGGGAAACCCCCATGGTGTTCCTTTGAGTTGGAACTAAAGCTTAATGTAAGTTTACTATATTGAGTTAACAGTTAGATTAAATTTACATTAAAGACAAAAGTAATATTTTTATTCATCTGAAATCAAAACTTTTATTACAGGTAGCAGTTGTTGTTACAGGTCAGGTAAGAACGTATATTTTTTCCTTTTTTTAATTTTAATAATTTTAATGAACAGTTACAGAGATTTTGGATTTCCATTCATTCATTGCTGCACTTCTCTCCCCGCCCAGCCCTCCCCCCCCCACCAGTTCGCTCCTCTCTTTTATAAACTTCCATTGACCCTTGTTTGCTCATTCTCAAGATTACCTATTTTGATTTTGCAAATGCAAAAACATTCAAACCCTTGAGAAGATATTTTTGTCTTAGAAGGTACAAGACAGAAGGACTGGAATTAAAAAAAAAAAATCTCAATCTTATATTATCCAGTTCAATCTAGAGGCAATGGTGATGAAGGAGGAAGTACAGGCTGCTCTGAACGACTTGGCAAAAACTAACGCCCTAGGAATTGATGGAATACCAACTGACATATTTCAACAAACAGATGATGCCACATTCTTCTCAGAGTCTGGGTTTGCGAAGTATTTATTTGCTCAGGAAACTGACTGAATATGTATGAAAAAGTAGATCACTCTCATCCCTTTCTAATTTTAAACCATGCAGTATTCTGTTGCTTATTTTGGCCAACACTATCTCAATCTAGGTATAGATTCCATATGAACACAGTAAAGTATTGTGAGATTTCTATTCTTCTCTATGTTAGTCATAATTTGTTATGATCCACACAGTCAAATGCTTGTGCACAGTCAATAAAGCACAAATAGTCATTCCTCTGGTATTCTCTGCTTTCAGATAAATCCATCTGATATCAGCAATGATATGACTGGTGCCACAGCCTCTTCTAAAACCAGTTTGTTTTGGGTTTTCCCCCCATAAATATGGACTATATTTTAGTATAAAGACCAGTAAAACCTCACAATTAAACCAATAAGCAAAATAATGATGAAAGGAGGGAAAAAAACAAAGTTTAAATTTTATTTGGATTAAAAACCCAATGTCCATGGAAGCACTAGCCTACACATCAAATATTATAGTGCATTGAGTAGGTCTACTTCAAAAGGTGTCTTTCTGGTTTTAAAAAGCAAAGTGTAACTTTGAAGACTAACATGTGCCTGACCCCCATCATGATATTTTCAATTGACTCACAGGCATGCAAGAGATGGATGATAAATATCATTAATTTGAATATTACTATTTTTATAATAATTATCATTAAACTTTTAAACACATTTTGTCACATGTATAAAGGTATTGAATTCATATCTATTTCTATGTTTTGAAATTCATAAGCAATTTTAAAATCATTTAAGTCAGGAAAATACATGGACAATGAATAAGGAAACCAATTGATGCCATTTGATCATGGTGCTAAATGAAGAAAGTTTAAAATACCATGAACTAACTAACTGCTTGAAGAGCAAAGGAATCTGTCCTGAGTGAAGTAGAGCTAGCATGCTGCTGAGAAGTGAACATAGTAAGATGCTATCTCACCTACTTAGGACATGCTATCAGGAGGGGAACGTTCCTTTGAAAAGAACATCATGCTTTGCAAAGTTGTTGCTGTTACTGTGCACAATATGGACCGAAACTAACCAATATCTGACCCTCCAATGGGTTTTTAGAACTAGTAATCACACTGGAGGAGAATGCCCATCCTTCTTTTACGTTGTAAAGTACAACCAGTTTAAGAAAGAAAAAAATGAAGACTCTCATAATCTAGATTGGCACAGTGGTTGCAACAGGTTTAAGAGTAGCAACAGTTACAAGAATGGAACAGGATACAGTAATGTTTTATCCTACAGTAAGGCTTCTTGTTGTTAAGTGCCATCAATCAACTGTGACCCACAGTGACCCTATGAACAGCAGCTCTGAAGCCTGCCCTGCCCTAAGAGTAAGTTATGGTAGTTTTTAATCAATCTACTTTTCTAGCCATTTTTGAATGATCTTCTACAATATTTTGAAATATTAATGATATTGTTTGATAATTTGCACATTCTGTTAGATCACTTTTCTTGGGACTGGGGACAAATATGATTCCCAGTTGACTAAGTAGTTATCTTCCAAATCTTCTGTTATAAACTGGTGAACACAGAACATCAATTACTCATGTGCAAATTCAAATTGAAGTTGAAGAAAAGTAAAATTAGTTCCAGTTTGTGTCTTTTGTTAGGTTTATTCTCAAGTATATCAATTTGTGGTTGGGTATTTTAAGTATTAATGCTTTCTTAATTTCTTTATCTGTGTTCCTTTGTTATTGTAGAGGAATCCCACTGAGTTTTGTATGTTGATCTTCTATCCTGCCACTCTACTAAATTGGTCTACTGGCTCTAATAGAGGTTTTGTGTCTTTTTTTTGTTGTTATTGTTTTTGTTTTGTTTTTTGGTGTTTTTTTTTTTTTTAATGAGCCCTTGGGTTTTCTGTGTACACTGTCATATCATCTGCACATGACAACATTTACCACCTCTACCCTAAATTGGATGTTTCTTTTTTCATTCTCTTGTATTGTCCTATCAAGTACTTCCAATATGCTACAGAACATAAATGGTGAAAGTGGACATCCTTGTCTGTTCCCTGTTTGCAAGAGGAATGCTTTTAGTCTTTCTCCATTGAGAATGTTGGCTCTTGGTTTGTGTATACACCTTTCACTTTGCTGAGGAAATTTCCGTCTATACCTATTTTGCTTAGTGTTTTAATTAGGAAAGGATGTTAATTTTTGTCAAAGGCCTTTTCTACCTAAATTGACAGCATCATGTGGTTCCTGTTCTTTGTTTAATGTGACAAATTACATTGATTGTTTTTCTAAAATTGAAAAAAGTTCTTGAATATCTATTTTGAGCTATGAGTCACAGGCAACTCGATGGCACATAACAACAACAACAACAACAACATCTATTTTGGATCCCACTCTGTCATGATAATTTTTTTTTTTAAATGTGCTCTTGGACCCTTTTGTTTAGGATTTTGTTAAGGATATTTGCATCTATATTCATGAGAGATATTGGTTTGTAGTTTTCATTTTTGTTAATGTCTCTGCCTGGTTTTGGTATTAGTATTCTTGCTTCACATAATTACTCTGTGATTGTTGCTTTGTTTTCTATTTTTTTTTATAATTTAAGTAGAATTGGTGATAAATTTTCTTTGAATGTTTGGTAGAAATCAGCCATGACGTCATCTGGGCCAGGATTTTTTTTTTTTTAGTCCTTTTATACCTTGCTCAATTTTTTTCTTTTGGGGCTGGTCTGTTCAAGTGTTCTCCATCAGTCTGTGTCAATCTAGGCAGGATGTGAGTATCTAGCAATTTGTCCACTTCAAATTCACCAGAATATAATTTTTTATTACATTCTGTTCTTATTTCATTTCAGTTGGTTGTGCTGTGATATTATATCTTTAATTTCTCATTTCAGTTATTTGTGCCTTCTC